GCACGATAAGTGTGTATATGTTTGTTGTTGTGTATACCTGAGGAATGCGAGCGGCAACTATTTTACCGTCTTTGTCGGGTGTAATGAAGAATGCGTTTTGCAAGACAGAGTCTGCAGGAGAGACAACTAATGCATCTCTGTCTATAGGCCTCAAGACGTCGGTATTAATTGGGCGAGAGAAGAAGCTGCCTATACACTCGAAGTGCCGACCGCCCCCCTGCCATGTCTGAGCCGTACTAAACGCCTCTTCGAGATCTGCACCATACACATATCATCATACACCTAAACCCTAAACCCTAAACCCTAAACCCTAAACTTTAAAATCTAAACTCTAAACCCTAAACACTAAACACTAAACCCAAAACTCTAAACCTTAAGCTCTAAACCCTAAACCCTAAACCCTAAACCCTCTGGAGCCCCGCTAGGGCCCCTGTGGGGCCCCTTTTTAAATATTGATTGTTCTCACCAATGTTTGTCATTGCAGCAAACTTCCAGAGGAAACAAGGAGACACCCGAAGTCGAGAGAAGAAACCCCCAACACGAGACAGCATCCGGGTGTTATCAGTAAAAAAATTACGAAGAAAGCCACGCCCTGAAGCACAAACAGCAGCAGCAGCAGCAGCAGCAGCAGCAGCACCAGGGAAAGTAGTAGATAAACGCCAAGCTACACCGAAAACTCAGCCATTTATAAGTTTTAGCTGCAGCTGCACGTGCACACGGAGCAGTAGTTGCAGCAGCAGCAGCAGCACCGCCTACTGCACGATCAGCAGCAGCAGCAAAAGCAGCAGCAGCAACAGCAGCAGTACTGCATGCCCCTCTCGCAGATAAAGCGCCCCGCATGCAACAGTTGCAACGAGCGGCATAATAACTGCAGTGAAGAGAGGCAGCTGCACTAAAAGGAGACACTTGTATCTGTCTCCTCGGAAGGGAGGCACAGAGAGGCAGTTGTCTCTGTCTCTTTATAATGGAGACAGAGAAGGAGACACCTCCCTCAAACGCAATGGCTTACCGTAGCGAGTGCGGGCATCAGTACGAAGCAGCGGCTGCAGACACCCCACAGAGACACCCACGACCCCGCAGTATTTGCACCAGCAGCAGCAGAAACAGCAGCAGCAGCAGAAATAACAGCAGCTGCAGATAGTGAAGAAGGAAAAACAGCAGCAGCAATACCAGAAAAGGCAGCAGCAACAGCAGCAGCAGCGAAAACAGCACCAGCAGAACAGGAGGAGAAACAGCAACAGCAGCAGAGACAACCGCAGCAGCAAAAGCAGCAGCAGAAGAAGCAGCAGAAACGGGAGCAGATGCAGCAGGATCAGCACCAGCAACAAGGAAAACAGCGTCATCAGCAGCAGAAACAGCCGCAGCAGCATCAGAAGCAGAACCAGCAGCAACAGGAGGGGAAAAGAGACAGCAGCAGAAGCAGCAGCATAAACAGCAGCAGCATAAACAGCAGCAGCAGCAGCAGCAGCAGCATACGGCCTGTTCATGATCGACATGAATAGGTGTCTCCTTAAATACTGCTTCTCCGTTGGGCCCCCTAAAGAGTTGTAGAAGAATAACAGTAGGGTCTTGCTCTGTGTGAATATCTGTGGGGCTGCGTGCTGCGAGTAGACGAGCTTCAGCTTTGTTGGGTGTCTCTGCAGCAATTGCTGTCTCTAACTGTCTCCTCCCGATGCTCGAGATACGCAGAGGTATCTTAGCACCGCAATAATAAGCACTTGCTTTAATAGGAAAAGAAAAAATATTAGAGGGGTAATACTTTACTAAGCCTGTCTCTTCGTCTCTAAACTCTACGCGTCTATAGGTAAGAGTAGGGAAGATAGAGCCTAGTGTATGGTTGTCAGGCTGCAGTAAGGAGACACCTCCTTCATTGCCCTGCAGCCAAGAAGGAGACACTTCAGGAGACCCCTTCAGCAGCTCTTTTACTGAGTCTAGACGATGCACAGTCGCCCATGGCTGCAGCAGCAGCAGCGGTATGTTTGCTGCATCTACTCGAGGCAGCACATCAAGGAAGCGAGGATCTAGAGGCACATTGTCAGAACCCCGCTGCAGCAGTAACAGCAAAAGCAGCAACAGCAGCAGGAACACAACGCACAAAACAAATCCTTCAGCACCCAACAAACGCCGCAGCAGCAGGTGCGCTACGCGCTGCACTGGAAGCAGCAGCAGCAACAGCAACAGCAACAGCAGCAGCAACAGGAGTAGATCGATTCCCCCCGCGCATGCAGACTAACTGTCTCCTCCAGCTTAGTGATTACCCCGAAAGCCTCTAAAAGGAGACACTCTTTTAACTGTTAAGCCCCCAGCCGCATCACCGAGCAGCAGCAGCAGCAGCAGCAGCAGCGGCAGTAGCAGTAGCAGCAGCAGAGCAGCATGGATCGTCTGCTGCTCCTCACCTTTGCTACAGCCCTGAGGCGCCCCCTCGAAAGCTTATCTAAAGGTGTGCTGCTGCTTAGGCGCCCCCTCCAGAAGGCAAGCCTACCCCACACGGTATCTGTACGCAGATGTACGGTGTCTGTACACCCCGAGAGAGCAGCAAGAGAAGAGGAGAGACTCCCCAGAGTTGCTCCCGCTGACCAACGAACGCATGCACGTCGAGGCCTGTACATACACCCCAAATAAAGCAGCAGCAGAACAGCATGCTGTTGCAGCAACAGAAGCAGAAGCAGCAGAACAAGCAGAGCAGCATGTAGCTCTGGTGCTTCTACACATACACCGCAGCTGCATGATGCTCTGATGCTTCTGCAGGGAGTAGTTTGTGCTGTCCCTATACAGCACAAACCAACCCTTGAAGCAGCTGCTGCAGCAACAAGAACAGCCCGTGCAGCAACAGCAGCAGCAGCAGCAGCGGTAGGGGATCAAGCAGCAGCAGTTCATCGTTCAGACAGGTACAAAGAGATTATATTACGCTGGCAATCGCTGCTGCCGCTGGGTGCTGCTGCGGCGGCTGCTGAGGCTGCAGCAGCAGCAGCGGCAGTAGCAGTAGCAGCAGCCGCAGCAGTTGCTGCTGCTGCTGCTGCAGAAGCCAATCCTTGTTTCTTTCTGCTCACGTTTTGTAAAAAGACAAAATAATATGTTTCCCAGTGCAGGAGAAGACAAACTCTTCATCCTTTTTTTTGTTTGTGTTGCTTGCTTGGGTGGGGGGCAGCAGAAGGGCGAGCAGCAGCAGCAGCAGCAGCAGCAGCAATCGCTGGAGGTACATCCTCCTGCTAGGTGAGGTGTATGTACACCTGAGAGTAGAAATAGACTAAAAAAATAAAAGAAAAAAACAATGATATAACTGCAAAGCTACAAGGAGACGCATAACGACCAAACAAAGAGAGGTTGCTGCTGCCTCTTTCTACCTGAGCAGCAACAAAAAGATTAATATTGAAGAAAAACTCTTTAAATACAATAAACAAACTAATTAATTATATCACTGAAACTGCTGCTGCTGCTGCTGCTTATAAATAAACCACAAGGCCTCGCTTACGGGGCTGCCCAGCCCGTGAGGCTGTCCACTGGTGCTGCTGCTGCTGCTGCTGCTGCTCTTGCTGCTGCTCTTGCTGCTGCTGCTGTTGCTGCTGCTGCTGCTGCTGCTGTAGTGTTCTGTTCTATTCCTTCACGACAAACAACAAATAAGAATAAAAAAAAGTTATTTATAAACGATTTCTAAATAATGCTTGAGGCAAATGAAAGGCCCCTTTAACAACCTCTCTCCTACAGTGCATGCACATGCATAATTTTCTACATCTTGTTTATAAATATATTTATTTCATTTACATACTTAGAGCTAAACAGGAGGGGAGCTGAAGCCTTTGAACAGGCTCTGCCTTACCCTCCACTTAGTCTGCTGCTGCTGCTGCTGCTGCTGCTGCTGCTGCTGCTGCTGCTGTTGCTACATTTGCTGCTGCCTCGGGTGCGGCGTTGACTGTCTCTGCCGCCGATGCTACTGCTGATGCTGCTGCTTCTGCCTCTGCTGCTGCTGCTGCTGCCTCTGCTGCTGCTGCTGCTGCCTCTGCTGCTGCTGCTGCCTTAACTAATTTTGGCCAGTTACGCCTATCTCGAGAGCCTGAGAGATATTTGTTTCTCTTATAAATCCATGTACATGCATATATATGTATATGCATATATATATATCAATATATATCTATATTTATATTTATATATCTATATCTATATCTATATCTATATCTATATCTATATCTATATCTATATCTATATCTATATCTATATATCTATATCTATATCTATATCTATATCTATATCTATATCTATATATATATATATATACATATATATATATATATAGCTATATAGCTATATATATATATGCATATATACAATATATGCATATATACGTACTCAGGCGTGTGTATAATACAAATAAATTGTACGTCTAAGTCTAAGTTAGATATCTGCATATATATTCATAGATAATAAGATATATATATATCTATAAGTATATGTATATATCTATATATATTGATATAAGTAGAAATATCTTGATAGGCAATCAAGCATGCAAAAATACATCAATATAAAAAATATAAAACAGAAATAAAAAGAAAATAAATAAACAAATAAATATGCATTCGTTTATGTTTCTTACTCGATATAAAAAACATTAATATAGATAGATAATAAGTAAATAAATAAATAAATAAATAAATAAATAAATAAATAAGCAAGGCGTAGCAGTGTTTCAAGATTTTATATTTTGTTTTATAGCCCTGTCTCTGCGGCTCCTTTTACTTGCACTAACTTTTGTTTTTCTGCCTTCTGCTGTCTCCTTTTGTTTTATTTATGTTTGTTTGTGCTGCTGCATGTTTATTTTTGCCTATAGAGCTTATTAATATTAATGTGTTATTATTCGTATGCTGTCTGTCTCCTACTCCTTCTGTCTCCTTGCGGTCTCCTTGCTCTGCTTGCCTATCCTTATATATATATATATATATATGTATATATATACATTTATTTAGTTATTAATATATAAGTATCTGTCTCCTTGTTCGAATGCATATATATATACATATATATATATATATAGGCATTAATATATATATGCGTAATAATATATATATATATATATTAATGCATAGGTATCTGTCTCCTTGTTCTGTCTGTATAATGAATTGCTGTTTTATGCTTATTTATTCAGTCTCCTAATCCATCTTTGTGTGTCTCCTTTCTAATCTCTCTGTCTCTTTTTACCTCTCCTTAGAGTGTCTCTTCTTTAAGAGAGAAGAGACAGTCTTAGGCCCTTCGTGGGGCCCCTAAGAAGGAGACAAATATACACCGCAGAGCTCAGGGCCTTTCTGCTGCTGCACTGCAGGCAGCAGCGAGAGTAAGGAGACAGAAAGGAGACAGCTGAGGAGACAGACGTAGTTATTTGCAGGTGTCATTAATAAGGGTATAAAAACTCTGCATGCATGCAGTGAAATGGGGCTTGCATGCGCCGACCTTCCCTTGCAGTGCAGCAGCAGCAGCAGCAGCAGCAGCAGCAGCAGCAGCAACACCCAGAAGCAGACTGCTGCTGCTACTGCTGCTGTCGGTTAGGAGGCAGAGAGAGACTTTGTTTGTTTTGTTTGTTTTTATGTTTAATTCTACTTAAATTCTTCTGTCTCTCTTGAAGCTCACCATGCCTTTCTTATAATCATAAACAGAAACAAACAAATATACGCAGCTGAGGGCCCCTTCCTGCTGCTGCTGCTGCTGCTACACCCGGCTGGCCCCGGAGCATTCGCCTCTCTTCTCGCCCTTGAGGAGGCTTTCAGGTGCTGCTGCATGCAGGCTAGCAGAAGCAGCAGCAGCAGCAAGAGCAACAGCAGCAGAAGCAGCAGCAGCAGCAAGCAGCAGCAGAAGGATCAGCAGCAGCAGCATCATTTTCTCAGGAGTTGCATCTTCATCTCCTTCCCAATACAGTGGAGAGGAGTGAAATATACAAGTAAATAAATTTTATTTATAAATGTTTAGATAATGCATCTCTCTGCTGCTAGCAGCAAGGAGAGGCAGCACAGCCACGGGGCTGCATGTACTTGGGGCCCTTCGCTGCTGCTGCAGCCACCTGAAGGCGTCTCCTTTTGTTTAAATACCCTAGAGCTGCACTTTCTTTTAAGGTACTTAACAACATGACAGGGCAGCAGCAGCAGCAGCAGCAACAGCAGCAGCAGCAGCAGCAGCAGCAGCACCGGAGGCAGCAGCACCAGCAGGGGGCCCCCAGGCAGCAGGGGCCCTCTGGGGGCCCCCCTCCTGTACCCTCTCAAGGGCCCTTCTTACCTCAGAACTCTCTACTCCAAACAATCTCTGGTGAAGCTGCTGCTGCAGAGACGCAGCAACTTCCACCACAGGCTGCAGCAGCAAGCTCAGCAGCAGCAAGTCCCGCAGGGCCCCCCTCCCTGGGGCCCCCGGGGGGCCCCCTGGGGGCCCCTCATTTATCCTCAGGGCCTCTCTTGCTACCTACTGACTGGGGGCCTCTTCAAGGACAACCACATACAGCCCAAATGCAATCAGGAGGGCCTCCAGACGACCTGCAGCAGCAGCAGCAGCAACAACAACAGCAACAGCAGCAGCAGCAGCAGCACCCTGCAGCGCCGCACGCATCAAGCCATAAGGATTTCCCTCACTGTCAGCAGATTCAGGCCCCACAGCGCATGCAGCCGGAGACAGAGCTATCAACGTTCGAACAGCAGCAGCAGCAGCAGCAGCAGCAGAAGCAGCAGCAGAAGCGGCAGCAGTTCGGCGGTAAACACCAGATGCAGCAGCAGATGCAGCTGCACGTTCCTGCTGGATGCCCTCAGGGGGCCCCTAAGCAGCCCCAAAGAATGGAGGCGGGGGCCCCCGGGGGGCCCCCAGGAGCTGCTGCAGCTGCTGCGGGTCCGGTGGTAGTGCAGAGGCACAGGGCATCTACAGAGCAGGCTGCTGCTACTGCTGCTGTCGTTGCTGCTGCTGCTGCTGCAGATGCTGCAGCAGCAGAAGGGAGGGGCCCCCATGACCTCGAGAGGCCCCCAGCAACTGAAGCACCTGAACGCAAGAGAAAGGGTACAGCCAAGGGCCCCTTGTCTTCCCGCCGTAAGGCTGCTGCAGTTTGTCCTCAGCAGAAGCAGCAGCAGCAGCAGCAAAATCAGCAGCAGCTGCTGTGGCAGCATCCAGATATAGGTTTGTTGCAGCAGCAGCAACAGCAGCAGCAGCAGCAGCAGCAGCATGCTATGCACTCTCCACCGGTTAGTGGAGTTGGGGGCACGTCGGCAGCAGCGGCGCAGCAGCAGCAGCAGCAGCACCTGCTGCAAATTCTGCAGCAGCTTCTGCAGCAACAGCAGCAGCAGCAATTGCATCAACAGACTCAGTGGCAGCGACCGCTGCAGCAGCAGCAGCAACAGCAGCCGCACCCGCTGCTGCTGCCCTCACGGGCAGCACAAGAGCAGCAACTCGGGGGGCATTTGCTGCATCTGCAGCAGGGGTCCTGCTGCAGCGCTTCTGATGCAGCAGCAGCACCGCAGCAACGGCTGCAGCAGCTGCTGCAGCTGCACGAGGCTGCCGTGCAGCTGCAGCAGAAGGAGTTGGGTCTCTCAATGCGCGAGCTGGAGACTCTTTACCTTCCCCTTCTCTGGAACAAAGACAGCAGCAGCAGCAGCAACAGCAGCAACAGCAGCAGCAGCAGCAGCAGCAAGTGGAGCGCCCCTTTTAGAAAGTTTAGCTCTTATAAAATAAAAAAGGGGGGGGCCTTTGAAGCATTAGGCGAAGGCTGTTGGATGCTGTGGCCGGGGGAGAGACAAGACGCCAGCAGCTTGAGGCTGCAGCAGCAGCTGCAGCTGCTGCTTGCATGCACCTATGGAGAGAAGAAGCAGCTGCTGCTGCTGCAGCAAATCTGGAGCACAGGCACAGATGCTGCAGGGGCTGCTGCTGCTGCTGCAGTGCAGCACCAGCACCAGCACCAGCAGCAACTTCCAGAAGCAATGAGTGCAACAAAAGCTGTAATGCTGCTGCCTCCTCCTTGCTGCTTCTCTTGGGCTGCTAAGAAGAAAGGCATTTCTTTTGTGTGGAGACGGATAGCGAGCGAGGAGCAGCAGCAACTGCAGCAGCAGCAGCTGCTGCTGCACCAGCAACAGCAGCAGCAACAGCAGCAGCAACAGCTCCTGCTGCAGCAACAAGGAATCCGCCAACCCTCACGCCCTGCCCCTGCTGCGGCTTTCCTAGACCCTCTATAACGCCTCTGTCTCCGCAACAGCAGCAGCAGCAGCAGCAGCAGCAACAGCAGCAAGAACAGGCGGCATAAAGGCGCGAGGGCTTCTGAAAGTAATCCCACAGCGAGGGCGAGGACATAAACAAACAAAAACAAAACAGACAGAAGAGCAGCAAGAGGCCCCTATGTCTCCTTAGAATAATGCTGCTGCTGCTGCTGCAGCAGCAGCAGCACTTAAAAGGTGAAGGCAGCATTATTGCATCATCTGCAGTGTAGCTTCCGCGGTGCATTGCATCTTCTTTATAGCTAGTCACAGCTAGCTAGCAACAGCTAGCTAGCGGCAGCTAGCCACAGCTAGCCGCAGTTACCCCCAGCTAGCCACAGCTGCAGTCTCCCCTAGCCACAGCTAGCTAGCGGCAGCTAGCCACAGCTAGCCGCAGTTACCCCCAGCTAGCCACAGCTGCAGTCTCCCGCAAATGGGTGCATGCAGCCACTGGCCGCTTTACGGCTAGCTGCAGCTAGCTGTAGCTAGCCGCTGCAGCTAGCTGTAGCTAGCCGCTGCAGCTAGCTGTAGCTAGCCGCTGCAGCTAGCTGTAGCTAGCCGCTGCAGCTAGCTGGGAGTAGTTGTGGCTAGGGTTTTCTTGTTGGCGGCTGCAAACAGCAGCTGCGCATCTTTCTGAGGTAGTATCTGCGTTTGTTTACAAACCCTAAACTCTAATTCTAAACCCTCAGCCGTAAAAACCCTAAACCTTAAAACCCTAAACCCTAGACCCTAAGCCCTAGACCCTCCCGAAAGACCACGCCTTAGTGCAATTAGGGTTTGGAGTTTAGGGTTTAGGGTTTGCAAGAAAGGAGCAAGCGGGGATATGTCTCTCAGCTCTGACGCCTGCTGAGGGGCCCCTTGGTGAGGGGGGTCTCCTGTGACAGCCACAGGGTAAAGAGGGGCCCCCATGGGGCCCCTCTGTACCCTAAAAGAGGGGGCCCCTCTGTACACTAAAAGAGGGGGCCCCCGGCGGGCCCAGGGGGCCCCTCTGTACCCTAAAAGAGGGGGCCCCCGGGGGGCCCCCTGTACCCTAAGAGAGAGGGCCCCCTTCTTGTCTCTGCGTGTGTGTGTATGTGCGCACCTCTGTATGAGTTTATTTATCTAAGGGGTTTAGGGTTTAGGGTTTAGGGTTTAGGGTTTGATAGATTCACAATAGGAATGCGTCCATGTGTTGTTGCTGCTGTTCGTGCTGCTTATGCTCCCCCTGATTGTATTTTTGCTGGTCTTTCTGCTGCTGCTGCTCTTTCTGCTGCTGCTCTTTCTGCTGCTGCTCTTTCTGCTGCTGCTGCTGCTGCTGCTGCTGCTGGTCTTGCTGCTGCCAAGTTTGTTGAAGCTCCTCCCACTCTGCTTCGAGGCGTTTGCGATAGCAGAAGGCCTTTTGTTTGGCTGCATGAAAGCCGTAGAGACTTACTCGGAAGTATAAATCTGCACGAATGAACAAGTTCTTTTGTTTATTTCTTCTATCAAATTGAACCCTCCACGCCCCACACGGGTGCCAGCGTACACCTGGACAAGGAGACAGATATTGCTCCCAATCGACTGCTGCTGCTGCTGCTGCTGCTGCAGCAGAACCGCTATACAGCAAGCGGCGTACAGGGCCTGAATTAACTAAAGACAGAGGCAAAGGCTGCGTATAAGAGACACCCGAAGATGCAGAGACACCCGAAGACTCAGGGGGTCTATAAGGCTCCTGCTTAGGGTGCAGTATTTTCATTTGATGCCGCCTCTTCTGCACCACCCTCTTAACTCCAAAGCCCCGTGATTGCTGCAGCGTGCATGCACAGCCCCACAGCCTCAGCTCTCCTCTTGTTGATGCTGCTGCTGCTTCTCCTCCTCCTCCTGCATCTGCTGCTGCTGCTCTTGTTGCTGCTGTTGCTGCCCCTAATGGAGGCACTAGGGCAGGGAAGATAACGAACCGAGCCCTATGAGATGGAGGGGCCGATGTTGCTGCTGCTGCCGATGTTGCTGCTGCTGCTGCTGCTCCTGTAAGTGGCGGCGCTGCTGCTGGCCGCCTAGCTCCTTGGGGGGAAGCAGCAGCTGTTGCTGCAGCAGCAGGTGCTGCTGCAGCACCTGCTGCTGTCTGCCTGATCCCTCCTGGGGCCCCCAGGTTCAAGCAGCGAGATATATAAACCCCTGAGAGACCCCAAGGGCCCTTACATCCCCGAGAGGCCATCATCTTAGGGTTTAGGGTTTAGGGTGTAGGGTTTAGGGTTTAGGGCCTCCAGAGCAACCCACGAGCCCCTGTTGCGGCCTTGCCGCAGCTAGCTAGCTAGCTCGAGACAGGTGTAGCTAGCTGTTATATATAATAAAAATAAAGATATAAACAACTCCTTTAATCGAAGACCCCATAACAAATGGTGATGCCCCGCTGTGCGGGGTGGGGGCCCCTAGGGGCCCCCAAAAGGGCCCCCGGGGCCCCCCTAGGGGCCCCCCTGCTTTAATGAGGGCCTCGCTGGATGTCTAGACACCTCAGTGTGAAATAACTTTATTAATGAAGTTGTTTACTGTATTTATTTGTATTTATTCTGCTGCTTAAAGAGGGAAGAGCAGGGATCGATAGGAGGCCCTCTGTGGGGCCCCTGAGTCTCGCTGGGAGCAGCGGCTACAATGAAGACCTGGAGAGCATCTGCTGCTGCTGCTGCTGCTGTTGCTGCTGCTGCTATCTTGTGCTGCTCCTGTGTCTCCTCCCTGTCCCTCCGAGGCCCTCTCAACGATGGGCTTGGGCTGGGGAGGCGGGCACTTGCTGCTGCTGCGGTGCTACCGCAGCCGCAACAGCTGCAGCAGCAGCAGCAACAACAACTGCAGCAGCAGCTCAGCATAAAGAGACTCACTAGATCCCTTTCTCCTGGGGTTGTGGGGTCTGCCTTCGTCTCCCCGGGGCCTCGTGCCCCTGGGAGACGATCCCAGCAGCAGGAACTCCGCTCCCCACAGCAAATGCTGCAGGTCTCCTCTCACTGGAGCAGCAGCAGCAGCATTAGTGACAGGAGGCAACGGGGCCTCTCCTTATCTCTAGATGCGGCTGGGGGCCCCCCTGGGGGCCCCCAGGGGCCCCCACCCGCCGGAGCAGCAGAAGAAGCAGCAGACTTCGAGATGTGGGGGCCCCACTCCCCTGTATGTACAAGGGAAGGTGCGTATACAGCTCAAGTTCCTTTACAAGAGACAGGGTCTTTAGGGGCCCCTGGAGCCATTGATGTACATTTTGGGGCCCCTGGAGAGGCCAGGCCTATGGGGGGCCCCTCAACCTCTGGGGGCCCCTCACCCACTGGGGGCCCCTCACCCACTGGAGGAGGGGTCCCCAGTAAGGGGGCCCCCACCTCTTGTGGGGGGCCCCCATTGGTGGGGGCCCCTGAGAAGTGTAGGGATTGGCAGCACCTGCAGCTGCCTCTCGAGACATTTTTGTTTCTAAGTATTGATGCGGAGACAGATGCAGCAAGATACCTAAAGGAGGGGGCCCCCTATTTGCTGCGGGGGGCCCACATTAAGGAGGGGGGCCCCCTAGAGAGGGAGAGCCTCGGGGTAAATACGCTGGAGCTAAGAATGACGCATGCGTTGTTTGCTGAAGCTGCTGCTGCTGCAGTGCAGCGGAGAGCAGCAGCACAAGCAGCAGCCACCAAAGGGACAGCGGGATTTGACATAATGAAGAGACACATCAATACTTTCTTTGAAGCCCTATACCCCCGAGTTGCAGCACCCAAACCCACCCCCCAGCAGCAGCAGCAGCAGCAGCAGCAACAGCAGCAGCACCAGCAGCAGCTGCAGCTGCAGCTGGCAGCAGAGGTGTGGGAGGAGTTTCGGGGGGCCCTCTTCTCTGCTGAGGAGGTCCCTAGCTTTAATCAGCTGCCAGTTGTTATAACTAAAGGGGAGGCCCCCCTCTGGGAGGTGCGCAGGGCCTTTGCTGCACAGGGGCCCCCTGGGGGGCCCCCTTGCTCGCGCAAGCTGCTGCTGCGGCTCCCGGAGTTGGCTCTCCATGAAGCGCTGCTGCTGCCCCTGCAGAGCCCCACTGAGGAGACAGCAGCAGCAGCAGCAGCAGCAACAGCAGCAGGGAGGCGTGCCTTAAGGTGGGCTGTCCTAAGTGCTATGGTTCGTTACAGGGAGATGCTAGACCCTGAGGCTAGGGGCCTCGTCTCTGATCAGGGGGCCCCCCAGCAGGGGCCCCCTGGGGGCCCCGAAGAGGGTTTTCTTACTGTTGGTGGGTGTTTCGTTTGTCTCCTTTGCAGTGCAGCACAAAGATTAAGGCAGAAGGATGGGAAACAGCAGGGAGTTAGGTGCTGTCCTGGCTAGGGTTTAGGGTTTAGGGTTTAGGGTTTCGTTGTGGGGCTTCCAGGGTCCCTTCTATCGCAGCCTATCTGTTTAAATGCGTGTCTCCTTTTTGTCTCTTTTTATCTGTCTCCTTTCAGGGCTTTCTGCCTCAGGGCGGCAACGCCGTCTGCAGCTGCTACGCACTATCTCTGAGGTGTATGGGTGTGGGGCCCCTGGGGGGGGCCCCCGGGGGGCCCCCCGCAGGGGACCCCGTGGGGGCCTTGTACCGCGAAAAGCAAACCCTCTGTGGCTGCTGCCCCTGGGGGCCTCCATACGTGCATGGGTAGAGACAGATTCACAAAGGCTTGAGGACCCTGATGAAAGCATGCGGCTGTCTCTGTCTCTAGAGCAGAGACGGCTTCTAATGAGCTGGTTAGGGCCCTCCATGAGGCTGTGAGACGAGGTTTTAGGGTTTAGGGTTTAGGGTTTTGGGGTGGGGATTCACGGGTTGGGGGGTTCGGGTGTAGGCCCACAGGACAGCACACACTAAACCCTCACTCTAAACCCTAAACCCTAATTCTATGCCCTTAATTCTTCTGCTAGCCCCTTCACTCAAGAAATGAAGGCCCCTTTCTGCTTAGGGAATAGGCTTAGGAGTTTAGGGTTTAGGGTTTAGGGTTTAGGGTTTAGGGTTTGTATGCATGTGCTTCCCCAGGGACCCAAGCTCTCTCTTTCATGCTCTCCAGCGTAGCGGAGCTGCAGGAGACAGCAGGGAGGCGCTGCTGCTATTAGAAGGCTTTTTGCTGTCTCTTGATGTACACCCCCCTGATCTAGAGCAGCTAGAGGAGGAGCTGCATAGGGGGGGGCCCTTGGGGGGCCCCGCTGGTATGGGGGCCCCCTTTAACAGGGGTCTTGGGGGCCCTTTTGGGGGCCCCCACGAAGCAGACACCACATCTGCTGCAGCGCTGCTAGCTGTCTCCTCTTTTACTGAGGCCCTCGTGCTGCAGGGGGTTGATGCTGCTGCTAGAGTTGCTGCTCCTTTAATGGCGCAGCTAAACGAGCAAGCTAGGAGTCTAGCGAGCGATCTGGGGCTGCTGGAAGGAGACACTCAAGGAGACAGCAGCAGCAGCAGCAGCAGTAGGGGGATAAGGAGGAGAGCCTCAAGGGCAGAGCTGCTGCAGCAACGGAGCGACTTCTTAATGCTCCTTAATACCCTAGAGAGGAGGCTCCTAGTTGTAAGCCCAGGGATCCCAGCAGCAGCAACTGCAGCAGCAGCAGCAGTAGCAGCAGCTGCAGCAGCAGCAGCAACAACAGCAGAAGCAACAACTGTAGCAGCAGCAGTAACTAGAATAGTAGCAGCAGCTATAGGAGCATCAGCACCTGCAGCAGCAGCACCACCAACTGTAGCAGCAGCAACTGCAGCAGGAGTCGCAGCAGTAGTGTTCTTTCACCTGCTGCTACGTGTTATTTGCGTCTTGCTCTATTTCAGGCTGTTTCAGAGGCCCTAGAGGGTTCAATATTGGGGGGTACGGGGCTGCATGCAAGGAGAAATACCGCAGAGCCGGAGGGGCCCCCACCAGCAGATGCTGAGGAAGCAGCAGTTCGTACCTTTGTGGAGGCCCAGGTGTTCTTAAGGGATCTCTTTCATACAATGCGCCAAACCCTACGTCTACCGGGGGCTCCCCGCAACGAGGGGCCCTTAGGGGCCCCCCAAACAGTCCTAGAGGGCCCCCCAGGGGCCCCAATTGATGGGGGGGGGCCCCCAGGGGCCCCTGTAAGGGCCCCCGTTGAAGACCCCGAGGCGTCGATCCCTTTTCCTTCTTTTGACGATCTCTTAACTCTGCCTGGGGGCCCCCAGGGGGCCCCTCAGGAGGGGGCCCCCCAGAATGGGGGCCCTCAAGGGGGTTCGGAGGGAGATGTGGGGCCCCCTGTGTTGAACTCAGCGGGTGCACTTGCTGCTGCTGCAGCAAGGCTATATGCTTTCTTTCTTGTTCATTGCTTTGGGAGGGGGGCCCTTCCTGAAGGGGTTCGTCTGCGTATATCTCGAGGCCTTAATTGCCCTACTTCTGCGTCTTTAAACATCAAAAGAAAACCGCAAGATGGAGGTCTTGAGGCGGAGTGGATAATACACATTCATGCAGACATACAGCATATTCCTCTTCTAGGTAGAGCATCTATATATATATATATATGTATATATATATATATATAGATATATATAGATATATATATATATATATATATATGCATATATATAATTGATAGTACACATTCATGCAGCCATACAGCATATTCCTCTTCTATGTGGGCCCTTATTTGCATATTTGTAATTCTATATACACGCATATATATATATATATGTATATACATACGTATATATATATACATATATATATATATATTTATATATGTATGGTGCTGTGCGTTGTGCGCCGCCGTTTGAGTCTGTCTCTTTGGGTGTCTCCTTTTGTCTCTTTACTTTGTTTGCCTGAGGTTTTAAGGCCCGGAGGCGGTTGTGCATGCATGTGGGGTGTATCTGCAGCTTCTTCTCTGCTGTCTTCGATGTTTGCAATATATAAAGACGCATCTTCACCTCCAAAGGCATTCTTACCTGCTGGTTTTGCTGCATTAGAGACAGAAGAAGAAGAGACAGTGCAGCAGAAGAAGGGGACAGCAGCAGCAAAGGAGACAGCAGCAGCAAAGGAGACAGCAGGTTCAGGGGCGCTGTCTCCTCTTAAGGTCTCCTGCTGCTGCAGCTCAGTGCAGCGGTGGCAGGCTATAAGACAAGCAGCAGAAAAGAATGCCTGGCCTTTCTATGTGGGTATACAAAGGGGTGAATCTCTGCAGCTAGCTTTAGCTAGCTCAATTCGCAATACCCGTCAGGGGGGCCCTGGAGACCCTTATCTTGCTTTCGGGTCTCCTACTCCCCTCATTGATCTTCTCTTCCCTAATAACCCTAAACTGTCTCTTTCTGATGCTGATGGGGGCCCCCCTCTAGCTGAGCTACGCACAGCTGTACCCGTGGGGGCCCCAGGAAGTGTCTCCGCTGCACTCAGCCTCAGTGCAGCAGAAGTCTTGCTGCTGCTGGAGGAAGCAAAACCAGAAGAAAGAGACAAGGCCCTCAGGGCCCTAGAGAATGCCACAGTAAGCGAAGCTAAAGATGAGCTTCTGCTGCTGCTGCTGCTGCTGCTGCTGCTCCTGCTGTAGCAGCTGCTCCTACTTTCCATGCAGTGACGGCACATCCGACCCAACAGCAGCAACAACAACAGCAGCAGCAGCAACAGCAGAAAAGACGGCAGCAGCAGCAGCATAAGCAGCAGGAGCAGCGGGAGCAGGAGCTGCTACGTGTGCGGGTTGTGTGTGTGTGTGTTTGCTGTTTACGTGTGGGGTGTAGGCGGAACGGTACAGTGGGATCGGATCCCCGGGTCCGCTGCTGCATCACTTGCTGCAGCAGGGCCTCAGCACGAAGAGGGCCCTGTGTTTCCTCAATTGCTTGGTGAAGAGACAGAGACTGCTGCCTAAGAGCAGCGAGATCAGCCAGCTAATGGCTGTTGCTTCTCCAGCTACTGCACTGTCTCCCCTTGCTGTCTCCAGCCCCAAAGTAGAGGGACCCCTTGCTGCTTTATCAAATGATTGGAGAAGGGGAAGCGTTCAGCTGCTGCCGATATTGCATGCACTGTGGGCAGGAGACAGGGGCGCTGCTGCTGCTGCTGCTGCTGCAGGTGCTGTCTCCGTTGCTGCGGAGCTAGGCACAAAGGGGACAGATGCAGCAGCAAAGGAGACACCTCAAGCAGCAACTCAACCCTTAGATACGTGGGCCTGGAAGATAGCAGATAAACTCCGCAGAGATGTAAGAGAGACAAACTGCAGCAGCAGAAACGAAAAAATAAACAGCAGCAAAACAGGAGACAGAGGAGACACTCAAAAAGAGACAGCAAAAAAGATAAATGAAGACAGTAAAATAAACCAAAGACAGACAAATAGAGACACATACAAACAGAGACACATAAAGAGACAGAAAAGAGACACAAACAAACACAAGCAAAAGGGAGACAAAAATAAATAATAATAAGAGAGACACACATAAACACATATTTAAGAGCAATAGGAAAGAAGAGAGATTGAAATAAACATAGACAAAAGAGAGACACATAAACAGAGACCCCAAGGTAAGCAAGCAGTGTCTCCGTTTCTAAATAGGAGGCGAGAGATGCATCTTGATGGTTACGTTTGTATCTGAATGCGTTGTGTGGGGCTTTATCTGCATGCACACTGGGGTGTATGTGCGGCCCCTTTGCATGCGTCTCTGTAGGCCTCAGGAGCTGCTTTCTTGCTGCGCTGGCTAGAGAGACAGACACGAGGAGACAATCATTCAAGCGACTGTCTCCATACAGGGACAACAGGGGTTGATCTAAGAGGGATAGTAGGGGAGGAGGGGCCCCCAGGAGGGTTGGGGGCCCCCACAACCCCCGCTGCAGCTACAGGTGCTGGGGGGGGGCCCCCCACTGCAGCATTTGCTGCTATGCAGGTAGAAGGGCTTAAATACCTCGAAGACATCCATGTCTTAGAGCACCAACATCAACATGCGCAGAGACAGTTAATGATGCAGCATTTAATACAGTGCGGAGGCAGCAACGAAGACTTTGCTGCTGCAGTCGATCAGGCCTGTGCTGGGCTGGGGGCCCCCCCTCCTTCCCTTACTGCAGCAAGAGCAGCAGGGGCCCCCCCCCTCCCCGCTGCTCCACCCCACATGCAGGAGACAAAAGGGAGCGCTGAGGAGACAGCAGGAGCAGCACACGCGGAGGCCTATTTAAAGGAGGCCCTTACAAACCCAAGTAAAAGAATTGTACAAGACACAGAAAGACAGAACCTCGTAAGACACCCCACACCAACACCCCACACAAACAAACACCACCACCCTCACCTCAGCTGACTACCTGTAGCTAGCTGCGGCTAGCTGTGGCTACCTACAGCCACCTGTGGCTAGCTGTGGCTAGCTGCAGCTAGCTGTGGCTAGCTGCAGCTAGCTATGGCTAGCTGTGTCTCGATCCGCTGCGGTTAGTAGCGAATTGCGGTGTATAGGGACTGATATACTTTGTGTTGTCTTCGTGAGAATTAGAGTTCGTTGTTTTATTTTAATGTCTTGATGGGTTGCATTGGCTGCTGTTTATTTATTTTATTAAAATATTTTCTTAAATGAAGTCGGTGCTAGAGCTGTCCTGGGGAGTATAGTTTGATGCATAATGCTTTTCTTTTTTGTTGTCTAGGGTTTAGGGTTTAGGGTTTAGGATTGAGGGTTTTGTGTGTGCGCAGGCCCTGCATCTTTATACTCTACTTAACTGCAAATGTTTCTCTCGAGCCCTCCCTCCTCATCCCCAAGTGGTGTTTAGAGACCCTAATCAGCTTATTGTCTCCTCAGGGACTCTGCACACTGTCTCCTTTCCTCAGCCTGTCCTCGCTGCACACACAGCCGATCTCAGAGACTTCCGCCGACCCCTCGTTATCTACGTGCGCCTAGGGTTTAGGGTTTAGGGTTTAGGGTTTGGGTTCGGGAGTCGAGGGGCCTTGCAGCTTATGTTTAGTTGTACATGAAGGAGAGCCTTGGGAGCTACATATATATATATATATATGTTGGGGGCGTAGTTGAGGAGACAGTTGCGGAGACAGCTGAGGAGACAGCTTAGGGGACTCTTGAGGTGACAGCTTAGGAGACAGTTGAGCAGACAGTTGAACAGACAGTTGAGCAGAAACCTGAGGAGACACCTGCAGAGACAGTTGGAGGCACGTGAGGAGACAGTTTAGGCGAGATCTGAGGAGACAGTTGAGGAGACAGCTGAGGAGACAGTTGAGGAGAGAGCCCCTGGGCGTGCTTCCTCTGAGGCGCTGTAGTCAGAGTCCTTTGGAGGAGACAGCTCAGGTTTAATTGATTATAAATTAATTAATTATTGCTGCTGTCTCTGTCTCTGTCCCTTGTGTATGTTTCTTTGATGTAGATACACCCCAAAGTAAAGGACATCTTCCTTCTGGGGCATTTGCTGCTGCAGCAGATGGTGCTGCTGACTGGGCGAGTGTATCAGCCGTTTACAACATTAGGTGTAGAGACACCTGAGGGGCTGCAGCAGCACATTACAGCTAGCCAGCTAGCTCCTCTAGCAGAGCAGTATGCTAGCAAGCTAGCTAAGGCCCCCCTGCACCCCCCCGCCTCTGACGGTCTCCAACGCGTGCAAACCCTCGCCAGACCCGATCCCCACGATCCCAGCGATCCTGTGGGGTTTATGTCTCTTTCTCGCTTCTTCGAGGAGTCTGCTGCGCTGCCGGCTTTACTGAAGGAGTCTGGCAATATGACTGGGGAGGAGGCTGCAGCGCAGCATCAAACCCTCACAGCAGCAGCAGCAGCAGCAGCAGCAGCAGGGAGAAGAGGTAAAGAGGGAGGGGGGCCCCCAAGGCCGCATGCGCTGCACCTCGTTGCTGCAGAAGCAGCACAAACTGTCTCCTCAGCAAGCCCCAACCCAGACGAATTAAGCCCTGCTGCTTTCCTAGATACTTTAGAGTTTGTACAGCTCGAGGCGGGGAGACACTTAGCTAAAGAGGGGACACGTGCCCTTCCTCTTGAAGTAGCTGCACCTGCAGAAGAAGAAGAAGAAGAAGAAGAAGAAGAATATAAAGAGACAGACAGGGGAAAGGAGACACTTAAAAAAGGAGACAGGCGCAAAAACAAACGAAGGGACTGGCGAGAACTCCTCTCCCAGACGGAGAGCATACGGTATACACCTAAACCCTAAACCCTAAACCCTAAACCCTAGACACCGACGCTCAACTGTCTGTCTCCTCAGCGAAAATGCGCAAAAACAAATACCAAGGCACCAGACTCTTTATAGACAACATCTACACAGACAAAACACAAGCAATGCCTTTCTATTAAAAGCTACGGTGTACATCCACCTCCTCGTGCATGCACCTCAAGCGCCCAGCAAAGAAAAAGATAAATGTGGTTATATATATGTAGATAGTATATATGTATATGCATGCATATATATATATATATATTATGTATGATATGTTTATCCATATCTACTTATATCTGTATCTATATATATGTCTGTTGCTGCTTGTCTGTACAACTGTCTCCTTTTTAATGTGTTAGGGTTTGGGGCTTTATGCTTGTCTCTTGTCTGCATAACTGTCTCCTTTTAGTGCTTTGTTTTATCCTCAGACTTGTAAAGAAGGTGATGCTGAGCAACGAGGGCGTTGGGGGTTCCTCTTTAGTTGGGGATCTGCTGGAGACAGGCGCAGCGTCTCTAGATCGTAGCATCGATATACTGGTGTGTCTCCTTCTGCTGCACCTCTTAATTGTCTCCTTTGCTGTATCCTTCTGCTCTGCCTCTCTACTGTCTCCTCCTCCTCTCTCCTTCTGCTGTCTCCTTCTGCTACTGTCTCCTTTTGCTGTGCCTCTTAACTGTCTCCCTTTGCTGCGTCTCTTAACTGTCTCCTGCTGCACCTCTTAGCTGTCCCCTTCTGCTGCACCTCTTATTAACTGTATACATACATTCATGCATGCGTTTGCTTCTCAGGCTGCTGCGGTGGGGCCCGAGGAGACAGCAGAGAAAAGGGACAGGTAATAGTGCAGCTACTGCCTCCAAGAGCAGCAGCAGCAGCACGGGCAACAGCTGCAGCAACATCTGCAGCAGCAGCAGCAGAAACACCAACGGCAGCAGCAGCAGCCTTTATGTGTGTTCTTTAGTCCGCCGTATGAGTGTCTCCTTCAATAAATCGGGAGGAGACAGAGTTGAAGCACTTCTGTACTAGAGGGGTGCTGGGCCTTCTCTAATCAGAGACCACTGGACCACCTAGTGTCTCTTCAGTGGACCAGTGGACCACTGGGGCCTCGCAGCAACTCCCCACTCTAATAAAGTCTATGTAAAGAGAAAGAACGTAAAATAGCCTCAGCTAGCTACCAGCTATTTTCAATCCTGACTAGCTAGTCAGCTAGCTAGCTACCTAGACAGTGGCTAGCTGGGGGGACTAGTTAGCTAACTAGGTGGCTAGCTAGCTAGCTAGCTAGCTGTTTGTGAGGGAGGGAGCGGCGTTTGCGTTTGTAGCGACAGTTAAAAGAGCGACTGCCAACGTAATTGTTTGTTTGTTTGGGGTGTCTGTACACCCTGGACACATAAATTATCTAAAAGCCCCTCATCTCCCCCGCAAGAAGAGATTAAGAAGCTGTACGCTACATCCACCGAGCATGTAAAATAAAAGGGCTCGGTGTCTCTAAATCGACAAGAGGAGACCTGCCTATACACCCCAGCCAAGTTGGGGTGTATATGTGGGGTTTCCTTGGGGCTTAACAAAACGGGTTTTTTTGCTAGTGCTTCTTTCGCCCTTTACATTCCCTTTATCATAATAATAATATTATTAATAACAATAATAATAACAATATAATGCAGCTATTAATGCTGAGGGGCTACAACCCCCATCTCTATGCCCTGAGATACTTGGTGCTGCAGCTGCGAGTAATCATATTGAGTAGGAATATCTGCTGCAGCAGCAGCAGAGACTCCGGGTATGTTGGAGAAAGATTGTGTGTTGATATAGTGGGGTGGCTGCTGCTGATCTTGCATGTATCCGCCTACCCCTCCTTGCTGCTGCTGCTGCTGCGCTGCTGCTGCTGCTGCTGCATCGCTTTCAGTTGGCATTATATCTGTATTTATATCTCTCGAGTGTAACTGTGGGGCCCACTTCAATAACAAGGGTTCAAATAAAAACGACCAGTAGCAAGACACTCCATAAGCAGCAGCAGTAAAGAGCAGCATAAACACAGCCCCGTATCCTGTAAACATCAGCAGCAGCACTGAGAAACAAACAAACAAACAAACAAACAAACAGATAAATAAATAAATGTATAAATGAATATATATATATATATATATATATATCTGTATATATGTGTCTGTACATATATATCTATATATATTATATATATAGATATATATACATGCATTAACATACAAATAAATGTATATAGATGCATAAACCTACATATACATGTTTATACATACATACATATATATATAAATATATTTATATACATATATTTATACATATATATATATATATGTAGCATCAGAACTAGGGTGTTATAAGTTGTTGTTGGTGTATGTGTGCATGCACGGGGACAGCAAAGAAAGTAAATATGTAAAAATTGATAAAAGGGCTAAACAAATGAAGAAGACTTACTGCATAGACCTGAGAGAGAGAAAAGAGAGAGCATTAGCCAAGCTAATTCTTCTTGAGTGCCTTCATCATGATAACATTCAATATAGAAGAGAGCAAGACCGTAAGAAAGTAAAGATATAGAATCTAATAGATTAGCAGCTGCAAATACACCCCATTCGCTCTTTGTTATATTAAACCTAGACCACCATAATGTCGTCAGGCTCTTAAATAAATATAAATACTCTCCTAGACGCAACAAAACCGCTAAAATATCTAATGTTACAGCAGCTGATAATATTTTGCTGCCAGTGCGGAAGCCCTTCGTCCACCTGCACACAAACAAATGCTTCAAAATCTATCAATATAATATATATATATATATATATATTTATATATATACATGTATATTTATATATATATATTCATATATATAAGTATGTATATAGAGTGTATGCATAAATATATATATATATATATATATATATATATTTATTTATATGCATTATTATTCAAAAGTATATTGATATATATATGTTATATATATATATGGTGTATTCATAAAGATAAATATATATATATATTTTTCAATATTAATAAATTAATTAATAAATACAGTTATATATATATATATATATATATATATATGTATATATGCATGCATATGAAAGCATATTAAACAAACAAACAAAACACGCAAACAAAACAACAACAAAACAAACCAGCATATATATATATATATATTCACAGGTATATATGCATGCCTATATATATATATATATATATATAAATAGATATATATATATATATATATATAAAATGAGAAGGATGAAGATATACATATTTATATATACCCACATGCATATACTTCTACACACACATATATATATGTATAGGTATATATATATATATATA